TGCTCCGAAAAAAACGAAACGTAAGTGGCTTTTACAAACGACGACGTCGTCAACGGAGATTTATGAGCTCCTTTTTGTCGTCATCGGGTTGCTAGCCACGCCTATTCGCCAGTCGGCTCAGTATTCTTTATTTCCTATTTGGTTCTACACCTATATTCCTAGCTGTACTACATCAGAAGAGACAGCGAATCCCGGCAATCACCGTGCATTTTCATCTACCAGAGGCACTAATGAAAATGCCAGTCATTGACGGAATTCGTTGAATCTGGAATTAAAGCATACCCGTTCTTTTTCCTTCTCCCGTTCCTTCCGTTCTTTTCTTTTTAAGACAGGGTTGTTTTTTTGATAAAAATTTCCATTTGGGCGGGTGGAAAAAAAAAAAAAAAAAAAAAAGCCACCCACCACCCGCCGGGGGTCTACCACCCACGGCCCCCGCGCGATTATTTGCGTGCGGGTGCGGGCGGGTGATCTCATTTTTGAGTAATACGTAGACACTTGAACCTGCTTTGATAAATATGATTTTTGCGAACTTTCAGTGGAAATTCCGTTATTTTTTGTTTTTCAACAAATTTCTTGTGGTCGAATCAACGCTAATATAATTGTGAGTTTGACATTTCGTCCCGCCCTTTTTGAGAATTAAATTGTGAACTTCCACGTGAAGATAAAGATTTAAAAACGCATAGAAAGCCAACTCTCTAGTTAGTTCTTGGCTTTCCAACGCAACAGTTTCAATACAACGTGTCAAGTATAGATGTGAGCCTTCTGAATCTCCTAGCCTTGACTATCTGTACAACATCATTTTCAGAATGAACAAGTCGCAAAGATCACGACGGAAGAAGAAGTCGAAGGGAGGTGAAAGGAGCGAGAGAGGAAAGAGGGACAAAACGGGAGGAATGGAGAAAAGTGAGCGGAAGAAAAAAGGAAAGAAGAACCAGAGTGAACGGGTAAAGAAAAAGAAGGTGACTGAAACTGCATCAAGGGATACGACCGGAACTACTGGAAGTGGTGGATGTATTGGGTTGCTGACCAATGGAGAAGGATGTAGTAAAATGGAGAGAAGAGAACGGGCAAAAGAGAAGGAGAAGGAACAATGGAGTGGAGAGGAAATGGCAAAAAAGATGATTGCGAGCGGAGCTTTTGGTAATTTATCTTCGAATCCAAAGGGATAAAATACTGGATCAATATGGAAGATTTCAGATTCGGGCCTTATCGCCTCCGCATTCAAAGAGCTTCGCAACGAAAAGCCACCTCTCAATTCATGCATTTCGTTCAAGAACAACATGCATAAGATTCGAGCTCCCGACTTCCCAATTGCAGATGACAAAATAGTCAAACTCACTCATGCTCTGGATAACTTCATTTGTGCAGCAAAAGTCGCTGTTCCAAATTCAATCGGACAATGATTGTCACACAAGTTCCAGATGTGTCTACTCCTGTGAATATTGAAGACTTTTGGAGAATGATCTTCCAGGTAAAAATATAATCTCTAAACACGAAAGATAACTTTTCTTTCCAGGAGGAAGTTCACTCAGTTGTTCTTGCCCTGATGCCATTGGAATGCTCGGTGACCCTCCAACAGATCTTTCCCATTCTCAGTGGAACATTTGCCAATCATGGCAAAATGTTTTTGAACAACAAGAAAGTGGATTCGACGGTTGCAATGACCGCATATACATTGGAGATTCTGCCAGATGGATGCTCGAATTCCTTGTTCACAACAGTCTATCATCTTCACAATTGGAAGCAGAAAAGAGGATTGGATAATGTTGGAGACTTGGTTTCTACCGTTGAGAAGGTTCTCACGACTAATGAGGTGAGAATTCTTTTAAAATTGAAATAAAAATTAAAAACGTATTATTTTCAGAACACAGTGCTGATGAGTATGAACGGAATGGGTCGTGCTGGAACAATGCTTGCTCTTTTCACTTCAATGCTCCATGTTCAAAAAGGAAAAGAAGTGAATACGAAGGAGATTGTAGACAAGTTGAGAGGAGAAAGATGTGGTCTGATCGAGAATGCTGAGCAGTATGGAACGGTTTATAGAGCAATGGCTTTGTGGTTTAAGAACAAGTCGACGGATGAGGAGGTTCAGAAGAAGGTCAATGAGTTCGCACCATGTGTTCAGTGAACGTTTTTACTTCAATAAATTCTTCTAATTTTATAATCTTGAAAATCAAGCCCTGGCTCAGTGCAATCTCAGAATGATGAAATATTTTAGTTTTTGGAAGAAATTTTTCCCATTTTTTGTGGTATTTCACCAATATCTCAGGAACCAGCGTACTTCAAAAAATATGAACAAAAAATGAAATTAGCGATCTTCGTTTATGGGTGACGAAAATCAAAACAATCCCTCTTTATTTCCTCTTGTCATTACGAAATTCTCCGGGGGCAGTACTTTTTTTCAGCTTCATCCTCGTCTCCTTCACTCATCAACCTAATTTTTTTAATTCAATGTTTGTTTGCTTATGTTTGTTAGTTTCCATCAGACTTCATAATTTTTTCTTGATCTTTATTCAGAAGTTCCTAGAAACCAGCCCAAATTTGCATGATTTATTAAATTTTGCATCCTTGATTCGTATTTCCTTCCCCAATGATAACACCTTCTTCTTTCAATTTGTGTAAAGCCGGCGTCCAATACTTTTCAGGCAAATTTCTCAACTCTACGATTCTTCTTTTATACGATGGATTGTTGTCCCTTCTCCAGATGCGTTCTTTTTTTGTACACTGCCAAACCGCCTCGTCCCAGTATGAGCACTTTCCCAGCATTTTTCCTGAAATGAAAGTTATCTACAAGTGGATGAATTTGGAATTACCAAAAGGCTTTTCTGAATGACACCGCTGCAAAAACTCGATGAGCATGTTACATTCCTTGGTATGCAAGTGTGGCGATAGGTCAGGGAGCATCTGTAATCAACGGATGTCTGATGTTCGGGAGATCATTCGGAAGTTGATAAAAGACGGATAAGAACCGAGAAAAAAGTCTATGAAATATCATTTGTGATAAATTTTCATATTAAAAAGATACATATGAACTTGAAAATGGCACCGAATCTGAAAGAAACCTAGCTAATAAACAAAAAAATAAGAACAAATCTTGTACTAACAACGAAGAAAATCAGTCAATGTTTATGTCTTTTCCATCTTCACCATAAACATAATTGTCGTGGATTTCATGGAACAAGCCGCCACAGGATACGGTAGCTTTGAGTTTAGCGGCAAGAAGATAGCATCCGGAAAGTTTTCGATGAAGAGAGTAAATTTCTTCTGGGGGAGAAGTGAGTCTGCAAAATGAAGCTTTTTGAAAGTTCAATATTTTAAAAGTACCTGTGCTCTAACATTACTGGAATCAGCTTTTGTATTCTTTTTGTCACATCTTGATTGGCAAAATCATATGGATGATTACTAGCGAGAGTTTCGCCCATTATCATGACAGATTCCACATGTGCCTCTTCCATTACAGCAGTTTCGTATCCAGTCAAGAAACCGATTTCTCGAGAGAAACTGAAAAAATAAAACACTGAAATGTCATTTGAAAATCTGTTCAGACTTACTCAATAATCTTTTTTTTGTCTCCATCGTAAGCTGCCTTGATTATGTTCATATAAATGTCAACAAATTTCTTTCCATAAGCTCTTGAAGCTCCAAAGTCCAGGAGAACAAGCCGTGGTTCACCAGTCTTCGGATGTTTGCCAAGGAAAAAGTTGGACCAGTTTGGATCGGTTTGCATGAATCGCCATAAGAAAATCTTAAATAGGCTTTATATTTCGAAAGACTTCGCTATTGTTTTTGATACCTCTTTCAGACACAATTCGATGAACTTGCCAGCAATATAATCTCTGACTACTTGTGGTTCTTTTACACACGCATCTACTGGTTTACCATAGACTAGTTCAGTTGTCAGCACTCGCGAAGATGACAGTTCATCAATTACTTCGGGAACATATACATCTTCCCAATCTGCAATCAACTCCCGAAACTTTCTCATTGCTCTCGCTTCTCTTTCGTAATCACACTCTTGCTTCAATTCTCTTCTAGCCACTGCAACGAATGCGTCCAAGAACATTCCTTTTGGAAAAATGCCTCCGACTGAAAGTACCGATACCAAATTGTCGATATCAGAGTCTATTCCCTCGGCCACACCGGGATACTGTACTTTCACTGCAACGATTCTCCCATCTTTCAGAGTTGCTTTATGCACTTGTCCAATAGAAGCACACGCGAATGGCTTATCATCAAACTGCTCAAATTTATCCCTCCAATCGTCTCCGAAAGCATCTCTCATTTGACGGTGAACTTGTTTGAGTGGCATGAAATCAGCCGATTGGCGAACTCTTTCAAAAATTTCAAGAAGAGCAGGTGGTACTGTAGATGAATCTTGAATTGAAAGCATTTGGCCTAGTTTGAGAGCAGCTCCTCGGACCTGAAAATATAAGGTGTCTAATGGAACCTTGTAAAAAATAAGCTCACTCTACATAAAGTAGCTACGATACGATCAGCATTGGCTTCAGATAGAAATGGATTCTTGGGAACTCCTTCTTCTTGTAACTTCTTTCCGATTCCAAAGGCTCTTCTTGTAACTTCAGCGGTTGCTCCACCCAGAAGACCAAAAGCCAACTGTCCAAACGTAGCTAATCTTCCGATTCTAGTAGCTGGAACGGAGCTTTCATTGCTTCGTGTTAACGTATGAACGTTTCCCATTTCTAGGTTCACTTCAAAATTTTTCGGTAATTCCGGACGATAAACTTCTGGTTTTGTTTTCTTGTCGCCGTAAATTGCTGTCTCGGCATTATCGTCTTGGACGGATTTTGCAGCTTTTATCAGAAAATCCGCCTCTTCCCTGGTCAAAGTTTTGTCCAAAGGTTGAGCATCTGGCAAGGCTGGAAAAATACTATGAATTCAAGAATGGAGTTTACTGAATTACCGGTTGCTTCAGTAAATCCACTACTCTGATCAGTGACTCCTTCTAACTTCAACTTTCTAGGTTCTGTGACTACTGTTCCTGTGATTTGTCGAGCTGTTGTCACTCCTAAAATCGATTGAATAAGAACTTCCACTCGCCCAATTGCTGGTACTGCAGCTCTGATCTGTGAAGGGATTGGCAACTCAGCTGTAGGATTTGAAATCGCCCAGGTCCCCAGTTTTGTCAGAGTCGGTAAGGGAAATGGTACAGAAATGGCTCCTTTGCTGATTTTTTCAGCAGTGGATATCAAATTCGCAACTAAAGTAGACTGAATTGGAGACGATTGCTTGACATATTGTCGTTCTCCTGATTCAGAAATAGTGAATCCAGCTGAACCAGGATATATTCCTTGGGACATTAGTTTTGCGAAAGTTTCGATTCCAGCTGCAACAACCCTAGCGCGTTGAAGAGTTTCATTTGTTGATGGAAGTGCAGTAGAAAGAACTGAATCATTTGTTTTGTTTGGCTCCTGAAAAGAAAACGATTTTTAAAATTATCCGCATGAATACAGTAATCTAACTTTCAATGGATCCACATCTTGCCCACCCATTACCACCGTCTGGAGGGCTTTTCTTCTGATCTGTTTCTCAATTCTCCGTCCATCGTACCCAAGTTGACTTCTCACAGCCATGCAGATTCCATCACAAATTGGTCCGATCTCCTGTTGGCACCATTTCAGCGTTGAAGCGGGCGGCCGTTTTGTGGTCATCTGAAAACTATACTATTTATTGCGAACTTGAGATGAACGATACTTGTAAGAACAACGGAAAGAATGGAATAACAAAGAAAGAATTTTGAAAAATCTAATTCGAGAAAAGAAGCTAGGAGAAAAATCTTGAAAAAAAAAAGTTAAGAGGACGTTGATCGAAGTTGCTTCCACTCTGAAATGCCTTCAACGAGGATTTGGTTAGTGTCCTGCGTTTCAAGCCAAGCGACTGTAGACCTCATATACGTGACAACTTTTAGCAAATGAACTGGGTCTACTTCCCGATTCATGTACAAGCATCTCCATATTGCACCAGCAAGAACTCGGTCATCGTGAAGGAAACCCTACAATCAGGAGATAGTTGTATGAACTTAAATGAAGATCTAACCTCATCATATTCGAAAAATGTTTGTAAATGTAATCCGTGCATATGCTTCATATCGTTCTTCCCTGTCATGATTTGGTTCAACTCTTTGCTCACAATCCCTAACCTAAAATAAAAATAAAAATTAAGTGTACCAAAAATGTGGAAAATATTACCTGTGATCAATATCCAACCACATCGTAGAAAGAAGACCTCTCTGCAATCTCATGTATGCTTTTCCATCAAACTCTGAATGCAGTCTCATCAGAACCATCCATGTGTGCATCAGTGTCAACTTGTACCTTCAAAATTTATATTGTTATCTGAAAAGCCATGTTGGTAGAGTTTACCAAGAAGACATGTAGTCGCCCAGACCAAAAGCTTCACATAACTTTCGGAAATCATAATTGTCTGCACAATTGTAATAAAGTTGAGCTGATGCGCGGTCCAGGATTGATTTGACAGATTGATCAAGCCCATCTGACTTGAATTTCATCTTCAAAGAGCTGGTGAATCTTTGAATAGTCGGAGGTACTTTTGAAACGGGCATCTGTAATTATAAGACTATTCCAAATTTCATTGTCATTTTTTAAATAACCTGCAGCATCTCTTGCGTCATGTCTTCCACTGTTCTCTTCTTGGACGTCTCCAAAAGCCTATATGAAGCAGACAGACGCCTGACTATGTGTCTAGTAACAAGCATTCTGAAAAAAAAAGTTATTTCATTTTTAGCACATCAAATCAGTTTTAACAAAAAAAATGAAGAAAAATGCTCATGGCCTAGAAAATAAATTCACTCGGCCACCAGTTGCAGAGGCAAACTTTGCAGAGCATACTTTTGATGAATGGTTCCAAATTTGAATTAAAAACAAATAATCTAGATGAAGACTGTGTTTTTAATTATTTTTTTTTCTGCGTTGCTGAAAATTAATCTTTTTAATTATGAAATAGTATAACGGAACTACATCATTAGCTCCGGCTGGAGCTGTTTTATCGATTTTATCCGGACAGTTCAGTCTTTGCAGTTCCTCCGTCAACGCTAACTGCTCTTATGTCTCAAATTCCAACGTTCTCTTAATTTATATTTTAGATTTCACTCGAAAATGCTCCTCCCTCGACTGGACGAGGTCCGTCGAGCATGGACGGCGTTCCATTTTTTCAACACACTTCTGGCTCTAGCGTTCCCGGTTATCCGGTCGACATTCCTCTGTGACTTTGTCTTCGCAACAGAAGGAAATGAACAATGCGAAATTGATTCGGTTAGCAACAAAACTTCATAATTCTTAATGTAATAAAAACTTAATTCTTTCAGAGAGAACGAGAAATCCTCATGTTCCTTTTGATCATTTTGGCTTGGAAGGGAAGAAAGGCAACGAACTGGATGCATTATGTCAACAACATCTTTCTTTTTTCGAAGGTTAGTTATTTACTTATTTAAGAAAAATGACTTGAAATTTTAGATCGCTGGAATGTTCCTATTCATCCGGGCCGATATTCTAGCTGGAATTATTTACATCTTGGCTTGTCTCAGTTAGTTCATAATTCAAAATGAATAGGTTCCAATTGTCGTAATTTCAGTCATCACAGTTGTCTTTCCCGAACCGGTTTACAATGGTCCAGAACAAGTGACATACTTTCAAGGAGAACAACTATATGAAGAGCTCACAAAGAACCGAAACACTATTTGGATCATCCAATTCTTCACAACATGGAGTCCCGAGTGTAGACACGTTTCACCAGTTTTCGCAGAACTCAGTCAGAAGTTCACTCTTCCGAACATGAAATTCGGAAAATTGGATATTGGTAGATGGGCGAAAGAAGGCGAACGTTTCAGAGTGAATGCCCATCCAATGTCTCGCCAATTGCCGACTATTTGCGTCTTCATGTGAGTCTTCCAACTTGTAGAGCTTCAGCTCACGGTAGTGTTTTTAGAGATGCTAAAGAAATATCGCGCCGCCCCCTAGTCAACGACAGTCGTCGTGCTATTCCATTCGTCTTCAGTGAAGAAAACTGCATTCTCGCGTTCGACCTGGTCAACTTGCTAAATGAGCAAAAACAGAAGAAAGTTGGAAAGACAAGCAAGCAAGATTGAAAAATACCGTATCAATGATATTCATGACATGCACTCCGAATCAAGAACAGATACTTAAAAAACGTACACCAAAATAGGCTTGTTGAATTGTTTGAATTTATTTGGTTTATTTAATATAGGTTACAAAAGTATATTCAACTATTTGACATTTATAATAAAGTTATTGCATTTATACGACTACACGAGGATCCCAGCATGTTTTATGCTCAACTTTCAAGGCCAGCAGACGCTCGATGTCACTTGGGGAAATCTAAAAATTGGAATTAAAAAAGGCAAATTACTTGTCAAAAACTTACTGCTAATTTGGTGACCTTGAAGTTGCTGACAACATGCTCCGGCTTAGTGGTTCTAGGTAATACGCTGATTCCCTGGCAAAATGCGAATCCCAATAGAAGAACCGGGATTTCGACTTTGTATTTTTGAGCGAGCTCGACAACCAACGTTTCCTTTGATAAATCTTCTCTATATGTAGGACTTCCGAGGCTACTGTATGCCTGGAATTAATGTGTCACATCTCTCTGAGGGATTCTATTTCGAATAACCTGGAAGTGAATATTGTTGTCCCGACAAAACTTGACCAGCTCGTCTTGATGGAAATGTGGATGATATTCAACCTGGAATCGTATATTTAAAGGTTAAGTTTTAGAAAAGAAGAGAACCTGGTTAACCGCAGGAACTACTGTACTTGACTTTTTTAGTTCTTCCAGATGAGAGATTTCGAAATTCGAAACACCGATTGCTTTTAATTTTCCTTCGTTCATCATTGCGCACATCACATCCCAACTCTCTTGTCTCAAAGCCTTGTTTTTTGGGTTTTCGCTCTTTAGAGAGCTTCCAGGCCAATGGATGAGCATCAGATCAAGATAGTCGACCTTAAGATCTTTCAAAGATTTTTCAATACTCTTCCTTGCTTCTTTGAGCCCTGCGTTGGCCGGTCCCAGTTTAGATGTAATCCAAATGTCTTCCCTAAAAATATTGGAAAGTTTGAAAAACCTTTTCCGCTCAACAGTACCGTTTAAGGTTGTGTTGTGGTAGTACTTTCTCCAAAATTCTACCGATCGCTGCCTCGTTTCCATAGACCTGGGCGGTATCAATGAACCGATACCCTTCTTTGAGACCTTCATCTATCACTTTATAAAGGGTTTCTTCATTTCTGATCTGAATGAAGCAACTAGATATAAAGTAGGCAAATCATGAAAACTATACCTGCCAAGTCCCCATTCCAATCAACGGCATTTTGCCCTTCACATACGAGCGATGATCCATTTTTAAGACAATTTATCGAACCCTTTCAACCGGATATAAGGTATATGAAAAATTAGGCAAGAAATAAAAGTATGGTTAATAGCAAACCGTGAGCAAAACATTCTGACACACAAATAAGCCAACTTTATGGTGGGATACCTCGTTTTGCGGAATTCGCGGATCGCACACAGTTATCTATCAAAAAAAAATCAAGTATCAAGTAAGGGATGAAAATATTTTTTAAAAGTAGTACAGGAGATCTAGAAGAAGGAAAACAAAAATAATAATTGAAAAAAGGGTGATTTGTAATTGATATGATAACATTTCAGCATGAGAGTCTTGAGTCTTAAAAAGGCACGAGAGAAAAGGAAAAACGAAAAAAATTCCATAATTGGATCCATATTAATAAATTTTTAAGTTAATCAGTTTTATTCTCCATTAGAAGTTACTAGGTACATTCTGATGATTGTCCTCCAAATGTCGCCTTTCGTTATTGAATGGATCTGAAATATTTGTAATTGTTTTTAAATTATTAGCCTCGTTCAACTCACTTCCTTGGTGATCAAAAGGTATTCCCTTGAAAAGTCGTTTCTCTACTTCCCTGTCGTTCAACTTGTCACTATCCCAAAAATCCCCTACCACGTCATAGTATGCCAATCCAGACAAATTGAGCAATAATTGACGATATAATGTTCCCTTCGGAAGAGTTAGTTTCTGAAAAAATAAAGTTTACCGTAAAACGTGTATTGAAAAGCATGTTCTTTTTTCAAGGTCTTCAGAAGTGTTTCTGAGATTTGGAAACTTGGTTGTGAAAATGGCTAGAGAAAAAGGTATTCGAAACTTCCATTCACTATTATCTTTCTATACATATTTTGCAGTTTTTGTGAAAATATAAGAGCACCAACCAATTCAAATGTTCTTGATAAATCTTCATGTAGAAAACCCCATTGTATTCCATGTCTCTCTAGAATTTTTTTGGGCGTATACCATTTTTCCTGTGCCACTAGGAGCCTCCTGACTCCGGAAAATTTGGGACCGTTGAGAAGACGTTTCCTGGCCTTGAAAAGAGAATTTCAATAATCTACCCTGTGAATCAAAAACACCTTTTCGAAGAACTTATCGTTGTCTACACTCTTCATCTCCAGAACATCAGCTAAAGAGAATCGTCCATAATAAAATTTATCTTCAATGATCTCATCCAGATTATACTCCAAAAGTTTATTGACTTTGTTTTCCAAACCCGAACACATTTCCCAGCAGAATTCGGCTTCGTCGCCTCTGATACCAACAAAACCACCTTCTTCTAAAACCGCCAATTTCTCCTCCGCATCATCTGCACATGCTTCTGCCATAGCAGCATCCCACCTCGTGAATCTCTTATCATGTTCTTCTCTTGTCATTTTTTCGGTGTTCCAATGTTGTTGTGCATCGATCGGCCGCAACTTTTGTATATGTCGTTGTGATTTGAACAGGCGAACGATCCTTCTCATTCGTTTGCACTTTCCTTCCAAGAAGGAAATTAGTTCCAGGTGAGGATTATTTGTTGTCGACAGATCATTCTTGATTTCTTTTTCAAGACGGTTCCGGAGTGAGCTGCCTACTGCTAGGTCGTCGTCTTCCATCTCTACATTTGCTGACAATTCCACCTTCATCTGTGGCAGATCTTCAACAAAAATACTATTGGAAGTACGAACTATTGAATTTTGTCATCCTTTCACAAACCTTCTTTGCTCTTTTTAAACTTATGATAAAGTCCATAGGCAGCTCTCTGAAATTATGAAGAAAATCAGTGAATAATCATTTTAATAGATCAACTCACACAAATTTCGTTAAAATCGTCATTGGAAAGTGTGCATGGAAGAACTAAACATAAATTTGGAACAGACTTCATATGGTGTTTACCCCTGATATGAGAATCAGGTAGTACAAGTTCTTCTTTTGATAGGGGATGATTATTGTAACTTTCCAAATAGGATGATTCTTCCGGTGACAATACCAGTTGTGGAGAATGGTAAGAAGAGTCTGGATCTTTGTTTACTCCAATTGAGTCAGACATTGCGTCGGCGTCAAAGAACTCGGTATCCGAATTCATTCAGGCGCGGACAATGATATATCAAACCTATAATTAACGAGGTTTCGTCTATTTTGTAAATGGCATTTTCCATTTAATGAATTCTTTTTTTTTTCAGAAGTGTTGAGATAATAATAAATCGAAGAAAGAAAAAACCAAATATTCAAAGATAAGTGATGATGGAGCAACAACAATAGTTGTGTGATAAAATAAGCATGAAAACGATGACAGCGAATTTTTTATTCTAAATATTTCAATCAAATATGAAAATTAGGCGACTTGTCAGATCTACTGGGCGATGAAGATGGTGACGTGGTTTGATCAAACTCGATTCGCATCGTCTCTACCTTCTGAAAAAGGTTTTATAACTAAGAATGCGAGCTTTTCTATTTTTCTTAAACCTCTTGTTGAATAAACTTTTTTTCAGCAGATGTGTTCACGGCTCTGTGGAATTCATCCTTGTAATGTGCATCACGGGCTTGACGAAACTCCGAATCAGTACATGATTCAGTTGGATTTTTCGAGAATCCGCATGGTGTCGGTGGATCAGGCTGGAAATGTTTTGATGAAAAAGCTTAGAACCTCGCTTCCTTGTAACTCACGACGAAAAGATGACCGTGTGTGTAAGCTCTTGGTTGATAGGTCAGCAGAAGATTATGTTCGTTGAATGTAGCTCTTCTAGCCCGAGAAATCCATTGACCAAACGCGGTAAACCACTAAAAAATATCCGTTGCTGTGGAACAGAGAAATACAACGAACAATATGTAAAGAGAGAAGAACGAACAAAGCTATCAACCTGCATGGAAACCAATGGGTGGATATCATTTCAATAATATGGAAAAGGATGCCAAATGTAGAAATGACAGCAGACGATAGGAACCGCACATTTTCGAAGCTGTATCGACAGTGGTGATTACTTATCAAAGTTGGGGTCTTCTCGAAACTCACTGCATAACTGGATAATCAAATTAGCTGTTTTAAAGCACAAAAATAAATAATTAATATTTGAAATAAGAGATCAACAAAAAATACATAATGCACAAAGTACACGATCATATGCAATAATATTTATAGTAAGAAACAAAATTTGGATTCAGATGGGGAACGATTTAAGAGAAATCAACCTGTGACTATGATTCTGAGTATCAACAAACAAAATTCTGATTATCATCCGTACAATAAAAAAAGCTTAAAAGGGGGAGGGGGTTGGGTAAAACAAATACAGTCAGAAAGTGCTCAAAATAAATACTGAATAGGAGAAAATATTACATGCGAATAAATTATATGGAAAGAAATTACAGGCATAGAAATTCTTATACAGCTATTGGGATGTGAACTTCTTTAGGGAATCATAGAAAGTGCGATGGATTTGCATGAATTTTGAATAATCTTCTGGGCGTATAACAGAATCTTCCACTTTTGGAAACATGTCACCAGCAGATGTACGACGGAATTTTGATGGCATATGTCTTTCTGGTGTAGGCGTGTTGTTATTTCCAAGCTCATGAAGACGTTGTTCAAGAATCGAGATTCCATTCTGTGAAAAAAGATTAATTTATGGAACTTTCGCTGAACACAAATTTTATAAAGGGACTGAATTAGTTAATTGAGAAGTTTTTGATTTCTGAAAATAAAAATTTTTCTCTATGAGTATTACTTACTGCAATCGTCTGAACATCAACCACGTGCTTCAGGAATAGATGAATGACATGATCTATTTTATAGGTCAAAACGGGGGACCGTTTTCCACTGAGCAGAGCTCCTCTTCTGTAAAATCAGTGTTAGAGAAGATTCATAATACCGAACAGCATCTTACTTGCTTAATCTCTTCAACCGATCCGCCACTTCGTCATCTAACTGATCTTCTTCGTTGGAACATATATCCACTGGAATGACGCAAGACCATATTTTGACAGGAATGTCTATTCCTGGAGGCATGATAACAGCAAAAGCCAAAGCGCTGCGATCTTCATCCGAAAGAACTTCGACACATCGTTGGAGAGAACTAGATAGTGACTTATAACAGTAGGGAGTGATACATTCAATTGCAGATAATCCACGAGTTTCCAGTTTACTGTTCAGCTGGGCCATCCTGAAAATGTATTTATTTGGGCGATTCTTTAGGTGGTATATTGAGATGAAAAAACCTTTTTTTAGTGAGTTAAAATTATTTCCGGCAAGAGGAAACAAAATTTTAAATTTTTTCTATGGAAACGGGAATGGAAGAAATCTTCGAAAGTCTTCCGGAAAACTGAAAAAAATCAACTGTTCCATCCCGTTTCTGCTGAAAAACTGACGTCAAACGGAAACGGAAAGAACATTTTGTCTTTACGGCCAACGGAAACGGAAATGTTTTTTTTTTTCGGGAAACGAGTTAAATATTTACTATACTCACTTCTCGAATGTTTTCGGTTCGCATGACTTGAAAATCATCATGAGAGCTGCTGGATTTCCGCTCGTTAGATCAATGGTTTTGTGTAAGATATCCTCGTCTCTCTCAATAGCAGGCACCGGCATGCCATATGATTCCAACAATTCGAAGCATTCATAACTTTCCAACGGTGTGACTTCTATAAATTCGCATTCCGGTGAAGCTGCATTTGAAATTTCAACATCTCTGGTGGTGATCAAACAGCGAAGGCGAAGTTCCTGAGCCCAACGGATTGTGTCTTCTTGAACCACATCATCAAGAACGAACAAAGTATTTGGCCGGTCAATGAGAGCGTTCGCAATTTGAAAAAATTGAATTTTTAACTCAACAATCAACATTGGTGTAAAATTGATCTAACGTAGTCAAGACCCCATTTTATTTTTTGTCACATACAGTCAGCAATCTTTGAAAAGACTCACCATTCTCTTCAGCACAACAGATGTAACGTGTTCGACGGACGGAAAATTGAGCAGGTCGTCTTCACTTCTTGAAAGAACACGGTTAATGAAGTCGGGCATGTTGTGCGAGTCATCCGTGTCGCTCACAACACGGGCTCGTCTTTAAACACACAGAACATGCAAGTGCAAAGAGAAAAATATTCTGCGAAATAATCTCGAAATTTTGTGCTTTGTGTCTTTTTTCACTGGACAAGATTAAGACTCACTTGAGCATCAGCAGTAGATCTGTGAATAAATCGAATGTGGCTTTCGGCGTTGTTCCGCTATCTTTGAGCCACACGACAGAATCGTAGTTTCTTAAAATAATAGTTGAATAAATGGTCTTAAAATAATAGTTGAATAAATGGTCTTAAAATAATAGTTGAATAAAATAAAAGATATTAGAAAAAGAAATGCTGACAGAAATTTAGATTATTTAATTGAGATGCCCTTTCTTGGATTACAAAAACTTGAAGGATATGTTTGATTCCTAATTTCTGAATTTAAAAATTTTGTGTGCTGAATATTTTGCTTTTCACTGCGAGATATCATCTTATGATTCCTTTTAAAAGTCGTAGTGTCTTATTTCGCTTATTCAGAAACAGTTTCAAAAATCTTACATTCCAATGAGTTGATCTGATTTCGACAGTGCTTGTGACGCGATGACGGATTTTCCTGATCCAGAGCGTCCGTGAAGAAACAGGAAAAAAGACTCTGAAAAAATCAAAATACTAATCCGAACCAAGGCTTGAAACTGAAACTTGAAGATCAGTTTCCCTCGGACAACTTACCCAAATCACACATTTCGTCTAACTTCTCGATCACTCGATCCACGTGGAATTCTCTACTGAAGCAGTTCATTTGTTTCGGAACGTTACCCAGTAGAAGTTTACGATCAAGCATTTGCCTTGAAAATTTTGGAACTAGCACAACAGGTCGTAGTTTATCGGGTTGATGTGTAGCAAACCAGAGATACTCATCAAGAAAGTCCTTCAGATGATTTTGATTATTGTATTCGAAAAAGTCAATGAGCGGAGCCAATTCCGACGCTTGCCGTCGATAAGCTCGAAGGAAATTCGCAATTCTTTCAAGACGAGTTGGCATATTACTGATGAGATCAGAATGGTCTTCTGTGAAAATTTTTTCGCCTTCCAAATAGGTTAGCGCATCTCGTGGTTCGAAGTCCTGGATGAGCATTGTGTGTGCTGCATTCAAAGCTCGACATTCGATTTCACAAAGCATCTATAAATGAACCATTGACATGAAAAAAAAACTAGCTCAATAAATACGATCATAGTGCATTCGACACAACGAATATTCAAATACAATTTTGAGAAAGATAAAATCTATTTCATTGGTGATCCATTGTACAGGGAGGTAAGATTTGAAAATTAGAAATATTGGCAAATGGGCACATAATAGGTGAGAAGTGAGCATTATTATATTTATAGCAGTTTATCTTTTCCCTTTAGTTTGGTAATGATCACACGTCCTTCTTCCAAATCCTCGGTAGTTGCTGTTAATTGGCGTGAATCCCATCCCTGTAATTTTTTTAATTGAGTCCGATAAATTCTTACTAAAAAACATACATTGATCCCTTTCAAACCTATGACTTTTTCATTGACAATATCGAGTTTCGCATGAATTTCGTTGAATGTTTTGCACCAAACAATTACATCCTCTCCATGCTTGAATGTTCTATTTTCGAAGATCAATTTGGGTTTTATAATAGTAACATTTAGGTTTCTTTTTTTAACACCAGGCACAGGCGAAGGTAGACGGTTTCTTATGGCAAATAGATCTCCCCGAATTCTTGCATTTTCAAATGCCAGTGTGATATTGAATTCTGGTATTTTCGTGGGTGGATGAGAATTGAAGTATGTTGCAGGTTCTATAAGATTCCCTCCTCCTCTTCCTCTCAGAGTCTTCTTGTTGGTATCAAAAGATTGTTGAGTTCCGCCAGCTTTTGTGATGTCAATCACACCATATTCTTGGATATTGTACTTTTCCATTTCGTCCACACGCCCATTCGCTTCCTCCTCCAGTTCTCGTACCCGGACTTCGAACTGAGCTGTGTATTCCCGCTCCCTAGTGACATATTCGTGCTTTGCTGAAAAAGTTTCAAGTGAATGGATTTGAATATTTCGTTTATCGAAATTCACCTCTATCTTCCGCTCGCGCTCGATGTCGCAAAATTCTCGTATCCTGCACTTGCCTCTGTTTTCCGATTTTACGACGTTCAGTGAGCAAAAGTGGATGGGTGTCTGGAAATCTCACATAAAACAGACAAATCCATTTATTTTCGCATGAAAAGGTACCTCTTTTCAATAAATCAAGCTCCTCCAGTAATTTATCGATCGACATATGACCGGCATTTCGAATGAAATCTGGAACAAATTCAATGTTTAATTACTTGTCAACTTCTGAAGGCGAATTACGTCTGATTTTGTCTAATAAAACACACCTTCATCAAACTCCACATCGTATGAATGTGATGGGCCGGCGATATCGGCTTCCTGCATTTCAAATGTGATTATTGGTGCCGTTCAGTATAAATTACCATTTAAGGCTTGGATAATGATAAAACTTTGTCAAGCTTGCTTCTCGAGATTTCAATTGTCTTTCAAGTTGTATGAACAACTGATAGAAAACTGAATGAGCGAATTGAATTCAAAAAAAGATGGTGCGCAGAGCCGTTGGCTGGATAGTCAACGTAATTCGAATTCGCGGGAGAAATCTGTCGTAAGTTATGATGCACTAGTCGAAGCTGCAGTGTTTGCACTGTTTTCTACAAAAATAATTTCAGAAGTGAGCAAGATGTGCAAAGATCTTTGCAAAGAATGGGAGGGTATTAAATGTATTAATTTGAAAAATTGAAAGGTATATTTCAGAAGGTATTCAATATATTTATCGCGAAACAATTTTTCTTCGAATTCTATTGTAGCAGAAATGCAAGTGCCTAATTCCGAAGTTTTGATGTTTTTTTTGCTATTCACGCTATCCCACAGAATAATTCCGAACTGCAAATTAATTTTTGATCTACAGAAAAAAAGTTTGGCGCGATCACAATTGCAGGTCTAAAACCATAATTTCAGAATTTTTTATCTGATTCTGTGGAGATTGAAGATGATTCAAATGATTCTTAAAAAATTAATAAGTGGTTATAGATTCATGTATGGTCGTTTTCCGGAATAAAAAATGTCAAAAATGGTCATTTTTTAAAGTTTTTT